CCCCCCCCCCCCCCTTTCTCTCTGATTAATAATATCACACTTCATCATGATGTTTGCACATTTGACTTCCATATGAATTTTGCCAATAGCGTTTTTTCTCTATATGAAAAAGAAACTTATTCGCCAATATATTAGTTTTATTCTTTATTGTCATAGAAAAACAGTCAATCGAACGTTATCAGAAACAAATAAATGCAAGAAAGTCGATGAACAAGGCATGGCGCTTCGATTTCATCGTAAACGAGAACGCCGAAATGCTCTCTCGGATTTATCAGCAACAAGTACAAATTCAAGCACAGCCTATCATCAACATCATAACCAACTAGTTGACCGTATTCGACAACTTGAAGAAGAAGTCGTAGTACCTGATTTTAATCGTCCTCAACGATCACCGGTCTATTCACCGTTTACACCAGTGACGCCATGTTCAAATAGTAGTTCGTATGGTTTGTCCACGTATCCATCCTCGATGAATTTTCCAATGAATTTGATTTCACCAAATGGACCTGTGCCAACGCAATCAAATGGACTATCGACGAAGATTCTTGAACGTGCCCATGAAATTCCCGAACGGTTTGATATTAAATCTAGTTAACTATTGTATAGATGTTAATAGGTTTTATGTAGATTTTGGATTAATTGGCAAGAAAAACAAATGCAAAATCGAATAGAACAACTCGAATCTATCAAAGATAAATTAACTATTTCGAATGAACCCCAAAAAAAACGAGTAAATCAATTACGTCGACAATGTCATGTTACTCCTCCTCAAACGGCATCCTTCACTAGAATGTCTTCGGCAACTACGGATAGTGAAGCATCTTCACCTGTTACAAACAATCGTAGTTTATTTAGTTTTGACCAACGATCCATCAATAAAGTCAATGAAAACAATCGAAATCGTCTAAAGACGTCGCTACCGATGAAACAAAATTCGCAATCAACACTTGATCGTTCTCGTTTAACTATATTTCTACCACACTCCTACACACATTTACCTGAGAAAACAACGATTGCTAATAAAAATGCTCGATCTATAACTAAATCATCAGCAGAAAAAACAAACGATATTAAACAAAATAGCATACAAAGAATTCCATCTACAAATAGCGTTGAAGATATAGCGCAAATCGATACTGAATTTAATCTTACATTACTTGTACGAGAAAATCGAGATCAGACAAATCCATTACTATATTCGAAAATGATTCTCAATCGTACGGTTGAATTTCAATCATTATCATCGAAAAAGAATCCATCCAAATAACAAAATGAACCATCCTAATGGTAATCTAGAATTACTTTCAATGTCTTTTTTTTGCTTCTTTTTTTTTTACATACAAGTTTCATCTGTTGATCAAGATATTTAAAAAGCAGTCCAACAGAAAAGATTTCTTTTACAGTCTTCGATCTTCTAAAATGTGTAATCATCATATAGCAGATAAATAATTAAATAAAAATGCTTTTCTCGAAACCTATTCGATCTATATTTCTCATGTCAAGTTTGACGGGCTTTGAACTTTGATTACCACATAAACAACTATTTTTCACCTGACATGCACTTATTTCTTCGTTATGAATTCTCCCTCGAATTCGATTCGCCCAATGAATATTATGACGAGACTATATTTAGTAGTTTGAGAGCTAGATTGATAAGAAAATATAAATTTTTATCGTTCTGCCAATGAAATTATTGTTCATTGTTTTTCGAAAACAAAAAAATCCTTTTACAGTTTGTTTGTCTAACGATTACTTGTACGGGTTTGGTGGAAAAGGCCGAAAGGGAAAACGCCGAAAAGTGAGTTTTTTGATAATTTTAGAGAAAACTAAAAATTTATTTTCTAAATTGGTGTGCGCATATACGTCGCATCCATGTTCAGTACAAACCCAATACTTTTTTGATGAGGACGTTTTATTGCATTTGAACATACATTGGTTAAATATTAGTCGTTAAGAATGATATTTCGCTGTCCTTTGCCAACGATTGAAGAGAAATTTATTTGTTAGTTGTTTTCGCCAGACTGATTTATATATATATATAGTATACGCTAACAATGAACAAGTATTGACTATAGACGAGGAGGACAACGAATTTAACTTATCCCACTAACAACCAATACCAACTCAAAAAATAAATATCGTTATCTATAGACATCTTTTTCATTCTACGTTTTCCTTTTCAAAATGTTTCTACTTTCTCCTCTTGCAGTTTTTCTTCGGCACTTTTATTAATTATACTTTTTCATTTCGACATTTTCCATTCGGCGTTTTCCGCCAATTCGACTTGTACAATTAATCCACAATAAATAAAACATCATCAAATTGAAATCACGTCTTCTTTTTTGTTTTCAGTAAAACAGGAAAAGAAAAATGTTAACAAGCTCTTCTATACTGTAATTATTTCCGATGAAAGCACATAACATGGAAACAAGAATTATAGAAATCTCCAATAAGACATGCTCACAATTAGAGAGAACCGCGCCATTCATCTTTTGGCAACATATTGCACTTATTAATGCAAAAAATAAACAAGGTCAAACGGAGAGGAGACGAAGAAGAAAAAAGAAAGAAACAAATATTCACAATCAATAAACGATTTGAGTAGCAGCGCCTGTCTACATGTTTTTTTTGCTTTGGCTCTCAATAGAAACTCCATTTCTCATGTCAATAAACAGAAGAGAATAATTGAAAGACGAAAACTTGAATTTCAAAACAAATATTAATAAGATCATTGACAAAAACAAAGAATAGGTAGAGAGTGCATTATTTTATTCCTCTAACAGAAAATTGAATAGTTTTGCTTGGTGCTTTGTTTTTGTGTTACAGTTACAGTTGCATTTATATAATGACTGATGAACCTGGTATTAGTAAACGTCATACCTCTACAGGTCAAAATGCAAAGAAAAAAGAAAACATTCGAGTTTTTGTTCAACGAAAACGTTTACCCTATGTTACGCACACGAAACCAAATACCATCGAACAATTAACATCAATTATAGAAAAACATTTGAATGCCAACAAAAAAATTGCTCGAAACAACAAAAATATTATTGTTGTTAATTATAAACCGGTTTATATGAATAATCGCCAACAAAAATCGACCGAACCGAAACCATTAGGAACATTACCAGCATCAAAAGATAATATTTCAGCGGCAACTCAAAATGATCAAACAACCAAAATGACACCGATAACAAATAGATCACGTCTTTTAAATCCGCCACCATTTTCAGTAGACGTACCTGATGTTGAAGATCCATTAGTATTTATTGAAATGATGTATCAACAATTATTTACTGACGATGGTCAATTACGTAGTGGAGCTCAGCCAACAAAATTAGCCAATTGTGTTAAAGAAATCGTAACACAATCAAGAAGCAATTCAATCGTACACAAAGATTCCTTAACACCAGCACGTATACATCATGAGAAACGTGTATTGACACCAGTCGATCCTTCGATGATGTCATCGAAACGAACATCGCTATCATCGCCATGTTTCTTAGCGAATACATTGAATAAAGGCGATGCAGAAAAGCAAGTAGACGATGACGACGACGACTTCTACGCATTGTTGCAAGCAACTAGAACTCCGAATGCATCTCGAAGGTAATGCAATTACGATTGATAGTTTTTTGAATAGCTTTAGCTTTTTGCAGAAGTTCAAATCAATCAAGTCTCGGTAACGCAGAAGTTCATTTACAACAACTTCATGCATTTGTCAATTCCTACTGTCACAATGACCAGCGACAAGCAAAAAATCGAATTCGAAATGATCGCTTCTCTGCTGACGATACTGATAATGAGGATTTTGATGGTTTTTCGGATTTCAATTCCTATCGTAGAACAATGCGCACATCATTACCAGCAAGTATCGATGAAGACATGACTCATACGGATTCGAAACTTTTGTCTTCATCTGGTTATCAATCATTACAATCAAGAAAACGAGTGAGCCATAAAATGCCTGTAGAAATCGATCCTCACTATTGTTCACATTGCATACGTACACCAACAATAACCATCATTCCGCCAACGAAATCATTGAGTTTGATGCAACCATTGCGAGATATGGCCACGAATTTTTTTCATTTTGTTATTGTTTCGAAAAATATTCTTCTTCTACCTTTATGCATTTTTCTTCTACGCCAACGATCAATCATTGTCCAATGATAGAAGGAAAGAAAACAACGTCCATGAATATCTTTTCCGTGCGAGACATAAACTTTGTTTTGATTATCATATTTTGTACATTTTTACTGTAGTATATAATTATGTAATAATGCAGACATTTAAAAAGAAACGCATAACAGTATTTAGACTGATGTAGTTTCTTACTTATAGCATCATTTAAGTTATTTATCTATTGAAGTGTTTTTATGAATTCAGAAACAATTGATAATGTGTTTTTAGGTAAATTATCTTTACTAAATAGCGATGAAGAGACTCTTTCTGGTTTGTTCATCACAGATGCTGATAGTTGCAATTGACTGAAATGCCAATCAAAATTATTTCTTTGACAGATGCTTTTAATTGTTCAGATAAAAATCTGCTCTTTGTAAAACACTAAAAAAAATGAGTGGGTTCCTACCAAAATTTAATTCAAATTTATTCAGCTGTTTTTATGCGTTCCAACAGTCTTTGGCCGTATCTTGACATCTCATAGAAAAGCAAATGCTCCTATCGAGTTTTATTAGCATAACTTTACCTAATGAATAATTTAATATGACAAATATTTACAGCTTATTATTTCTTTTGAGGCACAAGAATGAAAACAGTGCCTATGAAAGAAAAGCATGTCAGTAATAAATCCATCATTGAAGCGGCTCAAGTTTTGGAGATTACATTTAATTCTATTTCAACAATTTGTAGGATCTTTGGTTTCATTTATTTTATATAAAAGACAAAATACATTGATTTATGAAAATCTCTAGTGTTATTTATGTAACATAGCAAAAAAAAACAACGATCACCAAACAGGTCTTTGTAAAGGAAGAACAGGTGAACCAGAACGAGGTACGAGATAAGGGGAGCCAGCGCGTGGTGCGAGATAAGGGGAGCCAGCGCGTGGTACGAGATAAGGGGAACCAGCGCGTGGTGCGAGATAAGGGGAACCAGCACGTTGTGGCGCATTGCCATACGGCTGCATATTGTAATATGGAGGTTCAGGACCAACGAATGGTGGACCTCGACGACGCTGTTCATCATCGGACGACGACGATGACATTGATCGAACACGACGATTACGTGAATGCGATCGATGACGAGATGCCTGACGTGAACGAGGTCGTTCATATGAACCACTTCCGAATCGGTTTGGGCTAACTATTGGAGGTGGTGGTCCATAATTGAATGGATATTGTTGATTGGGAAAGTCACCGCCAGCACCATTGATTACTACAGGTTCACCAAAACCTGATCGAAATGGATTTGGCATTGGTGATAGACCGAAATTGGCTGGAGGAAATGCAGAGCCACGCATAATATTACCGTTTGGAAATGAAACACCACCATTAGGAAATACTCCAGTATTGTAAAAGTTTCCATAACTTCCCTGAGGTAGAACACCTGGGAATTGAGCTGGAAAACCACTATTACCATAAAAACCTCCACCGTATGAATTCCTAATAATGAATATAGAAACTGTTAAATGTAAACTTTAAACTCTTTTCTAGTACTTACATGTTATTTTATTCGACTGGCTTAAATATAATAATAATTCAAATGAAGTGAAATGCTTATATATGCATATATTGACGCTTCGCCGGTGAATCACTTCGTTAGCAAAGTAAAGTCAATGATGCATGAGACTCATTAAGAAAACGAGCATGACAGGTAATGAGTAATGAAAATGTGGGCTCATCATTTGATGACTGGTGTCTTTTCTATCTTATTTTGATATTATTCAAGATGATCATAATAATAATATTATCATCATATATAAAATATGATTATTATTTTTACATATTTTATTTCTTATTTAATCTCCTTGTTTATTCATAGAGATTTTCAAACAATTATAAAAAAATGATGAGGAAGCATCGAATAGAGATAAACACACGTCAAAATCATTTTTTTCTTCGGCAGCCTATACTAATTTCAAACTCGCGATTGTCGAAAGAAAACATGGCATAGTTACAATTTATCCAATAGTTTTATTATTGTTTTTCAGTCAGTTGCATGATTTTGTTTTACACTTTTCTTTTATTTATACATTCTTTTATTTGTTCTGCACGGTCAAGCATTGTTATTGAAGAATTTTAGAGCAAAAATAGAACAAAAGGGTCACATATTCATAAGGACGGGAAGCGTCACTGAAGTAAATATTGCAGTCACTCAGACAAAGAGTGGGTGCCTAACTTTGTCAACTGTAATAGGTCTGATAACATTACTCGTGCTTTTTCAATGACGCTAGATACACTCTGCATAGCTTGTTCTTTTTATCGCATTTTATTATAACCATAATGCACGGTCCATAAAAACACACTCTAAGAACCGCGTACCTTTTATGTATTTATTTTAATTGGGCTCTCTTTTTATTTTTCTCCACTCGGAAAAAGTCACCTTTTAAAATAAATGAAAGCAAGAAACATCTATTCCGAAAAATTCTGATTTTTTCAACATAAAATTTGGTTTTTATTTATCGACCATAAAATCTTCAAATGTGTTCTGTGTTGTTTTCTATTAGTATGGGAGGCAAAAAAGAAATAGAAATGGAAAATAAAAATTTTACCGCATCGTATAGTCAACTGTGTCAAAAAGACGAACACTGTTTTCTTGTTTTTCTTTTTCTTTCTGTCGTTCTTTTTGCTTTGCCTTTCATAGCAAGGGCTTCTGCATTTTTGTTTTCCGACCAGGCCCGATAATTTATCGTCGTTATTTTCTCTGTTAGCATATGTGAGTCACAGAGTCAGACAATTCAGTTAACATATAAATATCTCGAACTCACAGCTTTCTATGCTTATCTTTGATGAAACAACAACAACAATAACAACGTTGTGAGTAGCTTTCTGAAAGATATGAAATTAGAACCAGGCTATGACGTTTACGATTTCATGATGAAATGAAAGTAAAATATTTATTTCATGACAATTGATGTAGGTCTTTTTTTTTAGCGAAAATGGAACTAAAATACATCAAATGCGCACGCATATCAGAGACAAATTAAACATAAGATAAAGTCATTTTTAGTTAGGAGTAGTATTACGTTTGTAGCAATACTTTCTTCCCCTATTGGTTTTCAGAAGTTTAGTTTATGATGACGCGTGCGAACACTTTTAGTTTTTAATGTATTGTTGTTCGAGACAAGAACGTTATTTTTCTTTTATCACATGAAATGAATTTTTATTAGAACTATTATAGGTTACGCCTCACGATTAAAGAAGCCTTCTGAACAACAGAGTCGTCTCAACTGTGCAATTCATAATTAGGACTTCTTGTTCAGTAAGTTTACATGTCTAATAACTCCTAAGATTTTTTTAAACACAAGCCTTGTGAGATGTCGCTGAGAAGCGAGTATTTATCTGAAATCCAATAGTCAGACAAAATACGAGCTCTTTTCTATTAAAACTCTCCGAATATACGACAACTCATTAGATCTATCGATGAGCTAAATTTCAAATCAGTATCATCTAGTTTGATTCTTCAATAGATATCTACAAGTCGATCGAACATTGATAAGTTTAGTGCAGAGATCCTATTGGCGAGTCGTACTGATGTGTTTTTCTTAACTGCTGTAAATCTTTAATTTGAAACAAGAAAAAACTGGTTTGAATTATATTTAATAAATTACACAGGATTATACTGTTTAGCGCAATGATATTGAATCCCAGAAACAAGAGAGATAGGCTGAAACCGATCAGAAAACTGTGAGCAGAAGCTCCAGACGGAAAACGTGTCGGATAATTTACAGTTGTTCCCTAGTGAGAAAAAAAGGAAATGAGCTGGTAGCCACGGGAAAATGTAAACAATTACCGTTCCGGTACGCTGATTTTCGACGTTATCCACTATGATATCAGAACATGTCTATCGTGAAGCACATTTAAGAAATAGTTGTTTCAAATTTTACATCAATCGTACATATACGTAGCTATATGTAGCAAGTAAATTTATTCAGGAAAATCAACCAATGATGCCAGTAATGTTTTGAAGATCACTAGAAATACCTTCGATTCCTAGTGAAGACTAATAATTTACATCTATAACCTTTCGTATTGTATATTCAGAACAGTTTATGTATTGTTCTGTCCTATTTCAGGTTGTTGAAACAATAAAAATCTTGAGTTTATTAATGCCCAACAAAATATATTGAGAACATATAATTAAACCTTCACTTTTTGTACTCGTTGCAGGCATCTCGTTTCGTTCTCTCATCAATCATGCATTCATACGTATACTATATGCATATACTTCCTTTCTTTGCCTGTCATAAATTGAGTTATGAACGAACATTTGCTCACTATTGCATAATTCTTCTTCTAGTAAACGAAATCATATGTTTTGACCGTTGATAGTTGTTAGGTAGTAGCGCCATCTGCGATCATACCTATCTTTGCTATCATATCTACCTATTGGTCAAGAGACGTAAGTGAAATTTTATTGGAAAAGAAGTTGAATAAAGCTAGAAAGTTAGTGATACAATACAGATTAACGATATTCATTTTTTGTTCGATTTTATTTTCAATTTAAATCCTTTTTTTTGTAGAATAATTAATTTGAAACCTAAATAGTATTAATTTCAAATTATTTTTATTCAAATGGCTAAGGCTGCAGTTATAAATCCTCGAGGAGATTTAAAAGTCTTCACAGATTGTATGTATTTTATCAATGGCAATTGTAAATCAAATGATAAATGTCGTTATCGCCACTGTGAAGCAGCTGCGAAGCAAACAAATAATTGTTTTAGATGGCCAAAACTATGTCGTGATGCTAAATGTCCCTACCGACATCCTGCAACACCAAAACAAGGTGACCAGAAAAAAAAGACCGTACCCGAACCTCCGATTGTTCAGCAAAATCTACAACAACCTGTACCTACACCAGCACGAAGAGACGGTTTGATAAGCTTCTTCTGGGATATCGAAAATGTTCCTATACCAAAAGGTCAAAAACCTTTCGACATTGTTCAACGTATTCGCGACAAATTAGTCGTTCAATCTGGCTTACGAGAATATAGTTTTTCATGCTATTGTAATAGTACAACAATATCTCAAGAGAATCAGTTGAGCTTATTTCATGCGAACGTTCGTATTGTTCATATACCTGATCGAAAACCCGGTGCAGTGGATCGTCAAATAATGCTTGAACTAGATCGTTTTGAACGGGCTCATCAACCTCCGGCAACCATCGTTCTTATATCTGGTGATATTGATTTCGTTGGTAAACTAAGTGATCTTCGTCATCAAGCTGGATTTCATGTTATAGTTATTCATAATAAACCAGCTAAAACAGAATTAAAAGCAACAGTAAATTCTCATTATCCATGGGAAACATTTACAAAATCAGTCAATGAGACAGACAGTCGTTCAGAATTATTATCCGAGGGATTCGGACGCCGAACACCATTATCATATAGAACAAACAATCAAGCTGCCACAAATCATCAACGCAAAACTGATCCATCACCAATGCGTTCAACTCCACCACCGAAAGCAGCTCGGCCAGCTGCTACAGGAAAAAAGCGAATGTACGAATGTCCTAAATGCTCAAGTGAATTTGAATCTGTTCAAGCTTTACGACAGCATCAAGATGCTAAAGATCATTTATTTGATTGTCCACAATGTGATGAAACTTTTGTCACACTTGACGGACTATCGCAACATCAGAAAGCCAAAGGTCATGAAGAAGTAGAATACATTTGTGAACAGTGTAGTCGTCGATTTGCTAAAATTGACAGTTTAAAGCAACATCAACAAGCTACTAATCATAATGCAGTTACAAATGAAGTACCATTTATGGCTGGGCATATGTTTCCACCGGCAAGTCCTAATAATAAACAAGTTAAAAATGATATTATTCAAGATGCAGCAATGATTGTTATACAAAGAGGCATTGATGCTCTTGTTGAATATTATCCAAAAATTTTCCCATCAAATAAATAAATATATAACTTTTCATAAAATCATTCTTTTACACCTGTTCATTCAAAAACCATGAATCCCGAAAATTAAAAAATTTCAAATTTGGATAAATAGCATCCTAGTTTGAAATTTTTGTTTTTGAATGAACAATCAACTGCACCCATGCCATTCTATACATGAACATGGAGTAGAAGAATGATAGAAGAAAATATTTGATGCTAATAATCAATGTTCAAATAGAAGAAAAAAAAACTACTATTTGAATGTTTGATTATTTCATTTTAATTGTTCTACATGATAATGTAAAACAGCTAAAATATATATGTAAATATTTTGCGATTGTTTGTTGGTCGTATATCTTGTTTTTTCTAAATATATGTGCACTGTTATATCAAAATTAAATCTTTCGAATGATAATGTGTTATTGACACATATTTTTAGCTAACATCGATTGATTCAATTTCGTTATACACATATATATATAATTTGAAACTTTATGTAGTCGCGCTTTTGATAAACTTAAATAAATATTCAATAGCAATTGTCATTTCTATTCTAACAAGGGAACATTCTCAAGTGATTCGCACCATTTCGATTCATCTTTTGCTGGCTTGCAGGGCCGGTCATATATATGAAATACCTGAAAGGGTTCGTGCCATTGCGGGTCGGTATCAAAGTTATGAGCGGAAAACGTGCTACAATAGATGGTGCCACCTTCTATGTGCTATTTTTTTCTTCTTTGCATATCTCAACTAGGGGATGATTTTCCCCATAGATATTTATAAAACGAACATTCCTCGACTTGCTCAAACCAAAAAAGTTTCGAGAAGTATGTTGGAGCTACCTGATCGAAAGAGCGAAACATTAATGAATAGATAGTAGCACCATCTATCAGAGCAGTTGTTTCACTCATAACTTTGGAACCGAGCAGCAGTGGCACGAACCCTTTCACATATGTCATGTATATGATGAGCTCTACAAACCAGCAAAAGATGAGTCGAAATGGTGCGAATCACTTGAGAACGTTCCCTCGTAAGAATATACTCACTATGCATTACTGCATGGCGTGGATAATAATAAAAAATGATTTTGGCACGATAGTTATTGCTGTTAAAATTTTGGATGATCTCCACCATCGAGTAAACACGATAGCTTTTGTGATTATTCATCTTGGAATTCTTCTAGGAGTTATATTCTGTCTAATTCTTATATTTTTCTGATTGACATAGTCTCTTTTATGAATTGAGCCTTGCTGCCGACGCATGAATGAGTACTTTTAGAACAGAAGTCAGAGAAAGAGGAAAAAGGCGGATTTTGAAAATCCCATAAATTGAAAAGCATTTTCCCCTCTGTGAATGAAGTAATTTCAACCTGAAATTCTTCCCATATATAGGTTTCATGGTCCATAAAAGATCCTAAACGTTTCAACTCGAACCAATGTTTCCTTCTTAAAATATTGAATTTTCCAAAAAAACTGGATTTTCTGACCGTGCCGTGAAATGAGTATTTCTTGCGCATTCGTTATTTTGAGAAGGAAAGATCTGTTTGCGCTAAAAATTGTAGAATATTTTAAGGATCATGACACTTACATATGGGAAAAAATTCAGATGGAAATTCCATCATTCACGTTTTGGATTTTTGGATTTTCAAAATCCCAAATTCGCCTTTTCTCCCTTGAATCAGAGTTTTTTCTATGCAATATCCTTCGAAAGCTTCTTTACTACAGACTTCATAGATAATAAAAAATCTGATGCAATTCGTATTACATCTTCTAAATCAAGATTGCTTATTGAGAAACGTTTTAAATTGAATTTAGCTAGTGTCTGTCAACCTCAATGAGATTTGTTCCTCTATAAATTTAATTATTAAGTAGAATAAATTTGTGAACCACCTGATCTCAAACACGTGCGGTATATCTATCGTCAACTAGCCATTGTCGACAGTTGTTTGTTTTGTCAGATCGTCTCTATGAAACTCAAACCTTTTCATAATCGATACACAGTTTCTATATAGCTGTGAGAACTTGTCTATTAGCTTAGAAGAAATTCTCCATACATTTCATCGTGACCTTAGCGCGTAAGACTAATACAAGTATCCTTGGTTATTAGTTTCTCGTCTACATATTCGGAAGAATGTATTTACTGATGTTTTATCCAATCAATCGTAGTTAATTTAGATCAACAATATAGTAAATCCTATCGACGACGGTTAACAAACAATTTACGATTAGTGTAACCTTCGAGACAATTTAATCTGTATTGTTTCGCTCGTTCATATCGTGGTATAGAAAACTGGAGAATCTAATGAAATATTTTTATCTAAAAATTATTTATTTTCGCGAAAAAAAAGAAGGAAACAAAGAAGCGCATTACATATAAAAGAAATCACGTTAGAAACCGTGAATACTTAAGATTATTGGTTTGATTATGCAACTGTTGCCGTATGTTGGTATCATCATGAACGTTTCGAAATTGTCATGTTTGATCGATAGTGAAAGTAAAGATTCTCTGAGCGTTTACAGAAGAAACAAAAGAGACGACGTTTTGTTAGAACGAAATATGCATGCTTGTGACTAGATACAAAAATAAGTTCAGAATAATAAGATTGTTATTAATCGAAGGAATACATCAGGGCGATATTGTTAATTTATGTTTTTAATATTCGATTTTGTTCATCTGATAAGCAAATGACATTAGTTGAACTTGTATCGAATCGATGTGTACTATGTGTTGATGGACGATTTTGTGAATCAATATTTGTTGTTAAGCTATTCGATAAGCGCTTTGTTAATGAGTCATATTTTGAATTTTTACTAAATGAACGTTCGTCTTGTTCGTCATCTTGTTGAACAAGTGTAACATAACAGTTTTTCGATGATAATTGTAATGCTGATTCATCGTTATCATCTTCAATAGGCGAACCATCGTTTAAATTATTATTTGCATCTTTCAGTTCATTTGGCGCAATCTTTTGTGATAATGGACGTAAACGTTTAAGAACAATAAATAATGAAATCAGAGTGAATACAGTCAATCCAAGCATTGTTGTCATCATAATATGAAGACGAGTTAACAGTGTTGATGCAAATATCGGACCAACTAAGAATAAAACAAAAATAAATGTACAATTTTTTCTGTCAGACCCTAAGCAATTTAATCATACAAGACGGTATACATAGGTCTTAGCTACCCTCTACATGGCTTTCAAGATTCGACCTTGAGAGATATTTTTAAAAGCATGATTTTTATCTCCTGCGTGAACATGATCAGAAATGTCAACCCCATAATATAGTTTTTGATTTCGAATTTCAAGCAATGCCGAATAAAAAATCGTTTCAGCTGGTCAAAAACTACTGAAGTGAAATTCCGATTACAAATTGAAAAAGTATTAACTAGACCATTATTAAAATTATAAGAATATAAGCTATGATTTAATTGGTACCACAGATTTTGTTAAAATAGCTTTTACTGATTATTAAAGAATGATCTCGTTCCTGGTGACAATTCGCTTCATTACGTAATCGATATTGGTGATGCCCTATGAGTGACAACGAATCTTTTATCGTATTGGCGAAGCCTCATAGACCTTCACAACTAAGTGCTGAAACCCGATGAAAATAGGAATTATCAGCATGATTTATACAAGTAGTAAAAGTCCATCGGCAATCATTCAGTTATCGAGATATTTATTATAATTTTTTTCCTCGAAATCATCACTTTTCTGTGAATGTCAGACTTTTCAATGCTGCCCTATAGCAACGTCTCGATGATACTTGTTTTTTTATAAATTTGAGCATGCTCGGATTAATCATCTCAGAGTAGAGACAGTTATATCGTTAAAAGTAAACTAGTTTGATTCACGTTTTGCTACAAATAATATTTAATGTTTTAACATTCCAAATTCTAACCAAGCAAGAATAGTGGAACGTGATAAAGATAAATTTACTGAAAATGCCATAAGGTAGGCTGATTGCAATGTACATAAATATTTCTATAAACTGCGTTTAGTCTATTGGTCATCATGTTTAACAAGGTTTTCTTGCTGAATATGTCTACTTTTGTTATTAACAGCTTAATTTTTTTCTAGATAAAAACCTGTTTGCCTTGGAGATCAAAGAGATTATTCATTATCTTGTACTTACTTATAGTTCCAATGCCCATAATCAGACGTTGAATACCTTGAGAGAATCCTTGCAGCTCTTTCTTAGTTAATTTGGTAAACAAGGATACACTAGTAGCTGCTAGAAATGGTAAACCGAGTAAATCAAGAAAGACAAAAATAATAAACATTGTGAATAAACGCATATCAACAACGCCAGCGTTTGATTTTCCAGACCAACCCCATGAATAAGATGCCCAAGTGAAAAATGTTCCTATAGTGCAAGCAAGTGTTAATGACATAAAACCAAAGGCAAGTAAAAATCTATCTTCAAATCTTTTTGAAAGTACGAATACAAGCGATAGATAAACGAAAATGATTTCTAGACCAGCGCATGCAAATAATATAGATGTGTGAAATGTATTCCAACTAAAATGTTTCTCTGTAAATGCAGCTACGATTGTTTCTAATGCCGTTTGATTGAAGTAGGCAATAAATGTAGCACAAAATAAAACAAACATTTCAACACGCATGTATTGATCAACATAAATTTTCGGTGATAGTTTTTGCTCTTCTTGTCGCATTGGCTGATCCGATCGGGTATATTTATGTTTAGGAGAATCATCCGATGCTGATGGTCCTGTTGTTGTTGATGGCGTCCGATCATAGAAGCAAAACCAACAAGCAATATGAAGTGTTACCCATATACAAGCCATTAAAAATCCTGGACCATTGTAATGATTTACATGAACTGAACCTAATAGATATATTCAATTCATATTGAAGACAATCAGATTAAACGAACATCAAACAAACAAAAAAAGCAACGCACCTATATGAAAGTTCATCTTGCTAACAAGAAGTGTAAAACATGGACCAATCAGTAGACCTAAAAATATACATTAATATATGAAAAATTTACAGGAAAATAAAACATTTATAAAAGCTGACGCACATCATTTCACATGTGAAAGATGAAATAGTTTTTTTCTTTTATAATTGATGACTGTCTAGACTCCCTTAAGATACATATTTTATTAACATCTCAAACTATAATGAAGTGAGACGAGGAAAAAATAATGTTTCTCACCAAGTTGTCGACATCCCAATATAATCGAAATAGCTTTCGTGCGATCTTTTTCTGTTGTACGATGAGCTACATCCGCAAGAATCTATTTATGAATGTATGAAATATTCATTTTTTAATTATTATTATTATTGACAAAAAAATTGCAATCGTACTTACTGGTGGTACTGCGCCTAGGCCAACCCCAGAAACTAATCTTCCCAATAGAACAATATGAATATTATTTGTAAGAAAATATAGAATATTTCCAGCTATTTCAAATATACTTGATACAAGTATAAGAACTTTAACTTTTCCAGTTATATCAGAAATTTTCCCCATAATAACTCCAGCTATGGCACCAGATATACTATAGAACGAAAGGATTAAACCAACATAAATATTCGCATTCGTCATTGTTTTAACATAATCAAATGCAGTTGGTAAAATCACGGCATATTCAACACCGGTCATAAAACCAAATAGACATATTGTACAAAATGTTAACATCACATGTCGATGGCCATGAGTCCAACGAAAAAAGTCTGCTGAATGTGTTATGGATTCTGTGGGCTCTTTTGCATCTTCGTCATCTTCAGTAACATTGGGAAGATGTAGGGATCCATTTTTTGCACCATTTATTGACGGTGAAATAATATGATGATCGATATTTGGAAATTTACTTCTATGTTGATCTTCAATAAGTACTTGTTCACATGATGATAAGACATCGGATTCGTTTTGATTCAACGATGATCGATGATGTGAACCAGCCGAAGATTCATGCATTTCTTCGTTAGCTTCTATATCTAAATGACATATATATTCGTACCATGAAATTATATTTTTTATGGAAAACAAAAATTAATCGGTTAAGTATGACCATAAGATATTCATACTCAAAAAACAAAAACAATAAACCACAACTCATTTGACTGGTTGAACTGCTTGCCTTTTTTCTCACGGATCACTATATCTATTCTTTACTGTTAGAACGAATGGCACCGTAATATTACAAGTAATCAAAGATGAAAATAGAGATAAAAAGCATAAGTATAATGTGAAGAGCTAAGTCGAGCGACGCGTAAACCAGCATAAACAAGAACAGCTTTTTTTTCTTCTTTTTCTTTCGCTCGATGCGTCGTTTGCCGTTCGCTACGTAAGAAAAGGAGAACTGTGTACATGATAAAGCACATGAATTTGTCGGACGGAGATTCTTTTTTTTTCTCTCTTCTGTATATAGAGATTTTTATTGAGAGGAAGAAGCAATGTGTGTGAGTTCAAAATTGGATAGATATATATGTAACTATTTGAATTTCATTAGAAAACGAAAACATCGGCAACAAAAAAAGTAGAATATGATTGAGATAGGGATTAATTTTAGTTATAGATGGAGAAAGAGAGAGAGAGAGTAAAAAAAATAAAGCCCTTCAGTTTGCTTTTACGTAAATAAAAAATTTTGTATGGGTGTTGCATCGAACAAAACAACATCCATCAATTTTGTTTTGCGAATAAAATTTATGACCATCGAAAAAAATCACAATAATAAAAAAATACGAGCCAGTTTAAATCTTCTAGACAATAGTACGAAATAAAATCTGTATGCTCTGTACTTTTTTGTTTTTTATAATGAAAATATAAATAAACTACTAACCAAATTTTTGGACCATTTATCGAATAAATAGTGAACTTGTCTCTACATAAATAAAACAAATATAAAAATATAATGTTCTTCCTAGTCGTCGATGCGTTCTTTTGTTTCGACTCACCTGACCGCTTTTGCGATTGTTTTTTAGTTATACATATACTTGTTTTGTCACTAATCGCGTACATTTATTATTTCAACATTGTCCGTAAGTGCCTATGCAATGTTTGTATTTAATTTCGTATAGTAATTCCAATTCATTTTCGATCGTCCTTGCATTAGAAATCAAGATAAATAAGTTATTCAAAAATTAAATGAAATAGAACTAATGAAATGCTTCAGATTGTTACATAAAATCTAAAAAGAAATGAGAAAAAATGGACATTCTCGTTGCATCTATTTTTCGTAGCCAATCCATAGGACACGATTTATATCGTAAATAGCTAAATTTTTCTTGTTCAAATGAGAATTATAATAATGATAATAAGACGATAATAGAGAAGCAAATGAAGAGAGGAAAAAAAAGTTTAACATGACAAAAAAAACCTTTTTTTGTTGTTTTTAGTAAATCGCTTAGCTGTTCAAAATCGTGAGAACGAAACAGAAATGTTAATGGACCTTGTAAGAACCAAGTGAAGAAAAAATTGAACTATACAATAAATACGAAAAATGACGACTCATAACAATAGTGTATAGTGCCAAAAGCAAAGCAAAGAAAAGAATCATCGGTCACAAAAATTAATCACCATCTTGAATAGAAAGAATAGAATTCAACTGCTCATCTTGACCATGACGCACTAGACGATGTTCTTCTATCGGTAAAAAACGAACGAAGTAATAAAACAGTACCAATGGCAACAATTATTATCAAAACAAATTGCCCTATTGACCAAAGTTGTACACGCTCTTGTAGATCTTCCGCTCTTGCACGACCAGTTGCTTCGCGTAAACGATGATGTGTTTGATAATCAATGCACGATTCAAGATTTCGATGAATATTACCAACTTTTGATTCAATCTTGAAAGAATAGAAATTTATTTTTCGAATCAAAGCTATTCTATTTTCTTTTTTAGCCTACCATTGTTAATGCACCTTCCGCAACACGTGGATTCGGACCAGTAATTTCATGTTCAGGATCGCCATCAACTCTCCAATCTAGATGAATAACAAATAAAATAGAATCATAGTTTTTCTTTTCTATACAAACCTATATAGATCACTTTATGAGTAAATGTTGAAAATTCATTACTGAAACAAAACTCATAAACGCCATCTTCTTCAGCAGTTTTTTCTATTTGATCATATTGTTTTTTTGTAACTTGATATAAAATTTTGCCCGACGGACTTTTTAATTCGAGATCAACATCATAGTTTCCACCAGTAACAACCTAGTTAATTATTTGTTAAGAAAGAAAAAACATGTTTTAATTGAAAATATTTATAACAGAAAAACTTACCTGGAATTCTAATATAAATTTTGAGCCAACTTTTATTTTTTCATTAAAACATTCTTTTGCGTTATCGGGCAATTCAAATGTCAGTTCATTTGAATGAATATAAGTCAGAAGGAAGGCTATCAATATGAATAAAACACGTAACGTTGGAGCTAGCATTGTCTGAGAGAAAGATCGAGAAGATTAGTTGAATAGGTAGCTACGTATACGATTTCAACTTGAAATACACGCAAGACACATTTCATGCGTGTTGAATTAACCAATCAGATTATTACGACCACATCATCATCGCTTGCCATTGCTGTTGCCATTCATCATCGTGCATCAATGGCACATTAGCTACGTAGATGCCACCACATGCATAAACATTGCCAGGCGACGAATGAAAATTTGATGAGAGAGAGCTATGAAAGTTTTTCATGCGTTAATACAATACAAGACTTAATTATCGTATTAGAATTATGCTACAAATTGATCCATTATTTCAGGCGATCAGTTTATTTCGTCGTCGTCGATATGAACCATGTGTTGAAATAACAACTCGTTTACTTGAAAAAAATCCTAATGATCAAGTAAATCTATTATCAATGTCTCTATGTGTATATTATAATTAAATGTTGTCTTGTCTGCTGTGAATTAGACCAAGTTTCATAGAAATAACCACTTGAAACTTTAGGTAGCATGGTTACTTAAAATGCGTGCACTAACAGAACAATTATACATAGATGAAACTGAGATGGGTGATGATGGTCTGGCTGATATGTTAGATGACAATGCGTTTCATCAGGCACCAATGCCTGGTACATCTATGCGACAACCAACTGCTAATCCAAACATAGGCGTAACTGGACCAAGTCCTGCTGTGAGACCTGTGACAATGTCTGGTCGACCAATCACTGGTGTACTTCGATTGAATACTCAATCGACACAAGCCGGCAAGAGCATGGAAAATATATTGAAGACTGCTCGTACAGCAGCTACAGCAAGACCAGTAACAACTGCTAACGGCCGTTTTGTTCGACTTGGAACAGTAAGTAAATAATACATATATATATAGTTTTTTTTAAACAAACAAAGAAAAACATTATTCGCAGTGAAGTTTTTCAAGAGCATTAATAAACATGAAAGTTATTTTAAATCATTAGCTGGTGTTAGATTGAGTCCGAATTTTATCGGTGCATTATTTTGTTCATTATCACCGCAAACACATTGACAATTCAGACGATATTCAGGCATTGTAATATATTCTTGAATATCGCGTAGAAAATCTAATGAACCATTTTGACATTTGGAAATTTCTTTACTTGCATCACAACAACATTTACAGTCAACAAATGAAACATTAAAATGATCTTTTAAATAACCATTTAACACGTTTGATGTTGCCGATTTCTGATCATTTGTAGTAGATATTTGTTGAGGTGATGAAACATTTTTTGAGCTTGATATACAATTCATAATCAATTAAATAATATGTCAACAGAAATTAACGCGCCTGATTTTCATTATTTTTGTTTTTGTTTAGGCTTCAATGTTAAGTACGCGTGATGGGCCATTCATCCAAGTAGGTCGACTTAATCTGCCTAAATATGCACAAAATCAGGCGATAGCTCGATTACTTTTTGAACATTTATTCTATCACGCGAATGAGCTTCGAACGGTATAAATTAATAGTAGATGAGAAAATGATACTATTTGCTTTCTGTAAATAGGCTCTTCAATTAGCTACGCTTGCTAATGAAATAACAGTAAATAAAGATTGGTGGTGGTTAGTACAACTTGGAAAATGTCAACATCGGTAAATATTTATTTGTTTTGTCGACTATAAAAAACTTATTTTCGATAATTTTCAGTTTAGATATGTTGCGTGATAGCGAAAAACATTATTTACTTTCACTTGAAATTCAACCTATGGTTGATACATATTTATATTTAGCTAAAATTTATCTTCGACTTGATCAACCATTACTTTCTATAAGTAAACTTCAAGAAGGTTTAGGAAAATTTCCTTACGAACCATTTTTAGTACAAGCTATTGCACGCATTCATGAAGTATATCAAAACTTTCACAAAAATAAACCAATTGTTTTCCTTACAATTTTTATTCGTAGGGTCTTAATGATATGACACAAAGCGCCGACAAGTACCGACAAGTACTACAATTAAATAATATAAATATTGAAGCCATAGCATGTATCGCTGCAAATCATTTCTATAATGATCAACCAGAAATTTCATTAAAATTCTATCGTCGTCTTTTACAAATGGGTGTAATGACAGCATCCATTTTGACAAATGTCGCATTATGCTGTTTTCATGCGCAACAATATGATATGGTTGTCACTTGTTTCACAAAGGCCTTAGCAACTGCAACGGTCGATGAAGAACGAGCCGATATTTGGTATAATATCGGTGAAATGGCCTTAGTATATACCAAGATATTCTGTAACTTAATTGAACAAATTTTCTGTTTTTAGTATACAGTAGATACTTCATTTGCAATTCAGTGCTTTCGTTTAGCACTTGTTTTTAATAACGATCATGCCGAAGCATATAATAATTTAGCCTTAGTGGAAATACAAAGAGAAAATTATGAAACAGTAGAAACATGCGTTTTATACGTTTAATATGAAATTAAAATGAGTATTTCTATTTAGGGCCGCAGTTATTTGCAAATTGCTCAAGGTCTTGCACCACATATGTTTGAACCATTTTATAATTTTGCTAAAGCATCATATCAAGTAAATAGAATTAAATCTAACAGCTAGTATTATCATTTTCGTTTTTGATTAGAAAAGTGATTTTCAAAGTAGTTATCGTGCAATCAACAGTTCACTGGAATTATACAAAAATCATTCGGATTCAAAACAAATTTTTGATGAACTTAAAAAAATGCTTGCCGAGCTTTAAAATTTTTTCCTATCTTCTTAATAGATGAAAATATTTAAAAAAACAAAAACGTAACTTTTCTATTCTAATGGTTTGGACCGTCGAACGGAAATACATATGCATCGTTTTTATTACCTATCAAAACATCTGCTGCATTAATTTGAAAAGATGAAAGTTAATAACATTACTTTTTAGTCCTCAATATACTTCAAACCTCCTGTGCTAACATGAGTGACTACGTGTATTATTGCTAAAATGCATTCTCGCACAGGATTCAATCGAATTTTGTAGCCTAAGCTCGTACTCGCTTATACGATAGGAATATTCAAGATAAAAAAATCAACTGATTGATTTGTCTAGTAGTCAATTTACTTTTTCTAACTACGGTCAGCTGACACATCGAATATATGAATTTTCAGTGACAACAATACAAAAAGAGCGTTATTGCAAAATGTAGAAGCGATGATTTATCTGTTCTGCGAAATCATGGTGTCTCCAAAATTGACGTAGAAACTTTTACATTGAATTCTGTATTCAAGCAAAAGTTAAGTATAAATTTGCATTATAAGTCAAAATCACGATCGCTTCCTATTGCCGATTAATAATATGCGCATGACTCTACTTTGATTTTCTTTTCATATTGTACGATATATCATATAACAAACAATAATTTATTATTTATCGAGTCTAATCAACTCTTGTAGTTGATGTCGATTTATCACAATTCGATTTATAAACCAAAGTGAGCAAAGAGCAAGTACAAAACTTGTTACAATATATGAAAGTGTCGATTTAAATATTAACATAATATAACCCATAATCAGCGAAGAAATAATTTGAGATGCAAAATAAGTACTATCGAGTATGCCTAAAATAGTACCAATACCACGTGTTTGTATAACAGGATTATCTGCAAAATAAATCTAAAAATTTCAAAACAAAAATAAGAACCGAATATAAAAATTGGTTTTCTCTCTGTTACTTCTCGATTCGCATGATATGTCATAACAAGAGTATAAGGTATGGATGTTAATGATGCCATACCAAGGCCCGATAATGATGCCATTATATTAACAACAATTATATTTGTTGATGCATATATAACCAACATCGACAAAGCAAAAACAAACATTCCAAATGAAAATACTAAGTGAATACCAAATTGATTGATTAAAGGCTTCAGTAAGGGAGCATATAGAGCACCAACAATACAATGAAATAATAAACCATAGGAAGCAGCACGTACACCTTGATCATATCTAATACGTTCAATAGATAATTCATCAGCACCTGGATCACCCTTATAAACTGTTTGACCAACGAAATCAGTAAAAAATAAATTAAATGTCATTATAGCTGACCTAAATCGTTCGATCAGTAAGAACATATAAAAATCATTTAGACAAAAAGAAATTCACAAACCATGAACAACATTCGGCCAGTGTTAAACGACGTAAAACAAATGGCATTGTGAAAATAGTTCTAACTGAATTTGATACTGTAGAAAAAGCATTTTTTACAAATTTTAAAGGAAATAAATAATCTAATATTGATGCATCAGGAGGTTGCATTTGTTCATCGATATAATCGTAGACTTTTTCGTTAGCTGAGATTAAAGTAAAACAAAGTGTTATTGAAAAAAATAACAAAATAACACCGAATGTCAATTTTTCTTGTCCTTGTAAATAATTACTAAGAAATGAGTCAGTCCAATCTGTCGCTGTTATTAAGTAACCTAAACAGCCACCTATAACAAACGATTATAGTTGAATTTTTAAATTTTCAATAAAATTCTACTTACCAAATGATGTCATGAATGAGTAAACAAAAAAACATGAATTTTCTTGCGGTGTACCTTTGCATACATCGTAAATTAATGATTCACATGGATTAAAACAGGCTTGAGCAGAAAAATCAAATAGAACACAAGTGATGACTAACAAACAGAGACCAAGTTTTGGTGAATGAAAAAGTACACCTAAAATAGTGAGATTAAAAGTAAAATAGTAAATGATATTTCTTTTTCTTGTTGTCAATTATTTTACCAATGGCTTCACTCTGTGGAATTAGTACAAGACAAAAAATGATTGTTATACAAAAACCGAGTATAAACGGACGTCGTTTACCAAAACGAGAACGACAACGATCGCTTGAATGACCGACAACAGGACAAAGAAGAAATCCTAATAAAGGACCACATCCCATTAACCAAGTCATTGATGATTCGGAAATTCCTGCTTTGAGTAAAATAGGCGGGATATAAGTAAATGCAGATGCCGTACAGAATTCTAATCCGCATACAAGCGACGTAATGACGAACAAATGAACTATATCATAGTTATAAATTGATTGTAAATAGTTCATGTTCATAAAGAGCCCATGAAATTCATGTGATAGCTGTTATTTATTGTTCGTCAGAAGGTCATATTTGGCAAAAAGAATGAACGCAGTAACTAAGTGTCTTATGCATGTGCGTATACGCGGTATGTTTTTTCTTGTTCTTCGTGTGTTCTATTGTAAATATAGATTTATGAGTATGATGCGGTCACTAAAAAGAAAAAGAAAAAGAAAAGCTGCTTGCCAGTGAGTATAAGAAAGAAAGGAGAGCAAAAAACAGGTCATAACTCACTGATCAGCGAGGAAATGAAGATAAAAATGCGTTACCGATGAGAAGAGAATACAGCCAATCGGCTCTATTTATACTCTACAATTATTTCTTTCTTCTCTTCTCATACATTAGAACATCAGTATATCTACAATTGGTTAGACGAGAACTAATAGGCACAGCTGCCGATTCCACTATGTATTCATACAGATTCTTGCTTTGTTCTTCTATTGACTTTCGTCGGACTTGTTTAAGTATGTTATACTTTCAAACGATGAAAATTCCCATAAGAATAAATCCGAAGGAATTACGACTACAACAACTCTATCAAGTGAACTCTTTTCTTTAATTTAACGATAAAACAAATTTATTAAAATATCAATCAGTTTCGGTAGCAAATAGCAGCAAATGTTGCTTGAATTTATAGTCAAAGACATGCATCGGGATTAAGAACAAATACGGTATGTCTGTAATAAGATATGTTCATGTCGTTGGATACCGTACAAACGAAACGCAAACTACTGTTCTAAAGTATAATAAAACACACTCATGAAAAAATTCGATTTGATTGATCTAATAATAACGATAAACAAATATTAAAATGCGACTAATTGAAAGTATAATCAATGCTTTTTTAAATACCACAAAAAGTCTACTATCATATTGAAATATTCCATTATAATTATAGCTTGGTATTAATTGCAAAATACCAATAAACAAAATGTTTTCATATTTGAATTAGAACTTCAAATATAACAAGGGCGTAAAAAATGCTATATAAGATTTCATTTCATCCTTATCAATTCCATAGAATGAAGTAACATAGGATTATGATAGAATCCGAAATAACGAGTACCCTTCTCAAGCAAACACTTATTTACGATTATAATGCATCAGAAGTCATTGTGACATGCCGCTGGACTAATATGAAAACGTTGCCCTCACAAACAATCGTTTTATTTTTGTTCAACTATTTCTTTTAGCGTTTTGTTATTTACGATTTTTGTCTGTGTAAATATCTACGTTCTTAAAAAAAAAAGGAATGGGCTGAAATCTTTAGTTTAAATATACAAAAACAAAAACTAAGAGAATTCCTTCGAAATCCTGTTGATAATTTCCAATAGTACTCTTTATTAACGTATCTTCACAGTAATTACTGGCAGATGTATGATGCAATATGTCATAGTCAAGTATTGAATTCAATAATATGTACGTAATCGCAATATATCATCAAGCGAACCAAATAAACAATCATAGATAACTTATTATTAGTATCATAATGGAAATTACTAAACGATAGACTGATACTAAACTATCAAGAGCAAGAGGATTAAGTTGATCGAAATTTTCTAATAATTCTCTACGACAACATATTATGCATTTATTTCGCGCAAGAATCGTACGTTATAATGTAAGGTCGAGACCTTCCACGAGGTTAAATATACGCTCGATCTTGTTGAATCAATTTCAAGTACAAGAATATTTGAAAGTAAAAAGATGTGCCGAGATATTTGTTCAAAATTCTTCTAGCTCTAGTTACACCGATAGTTGAATGCGCATTCAGTGACAGCTAAATTTCCTATTTTAAAACCGGTCTTGTATCAAAAATATTAAAACATCGACAACGATGAAATCTCCTTGTAATAATCGGAAATGTTAACGACCAAATCCATATGATGAAAGAAATATGAATGATATAGGAAATGACGAGACGATTTTTAAGCCAATAAATTAATCTTCGGCAACTGCCAAGTACAGGAACAAATGTTCTATTTCAAACATGATAGAAAACAATTCATCACGTTGGAAACTCGGTCGTCCACAATATGGACTTCTATGCCGAATCTATCTGCTGAAATTTGTATGTATGACATCATAATAAGAATGATATGCCTTATGTCATGAGTATGCTTATTGTAATCAGATCCGCAGTAGCACATACAAATGGAAATTATATACGAAAGGATTTCTTCAGTTACTATTTTTTCGAATGTCATGCCTATAATATTATTTCTCTTTCAAAAGACGACGATAGGCGCAAGAACTAAAACGTCCTTTGAATTTTTGGATTTAAAGAGAGAAAAAATCAGCATGGAACTTTTTTTTATTTAATAATTGGATTTCAAATTATGACTACGACTAGATGTAGAGTAGAAAAGGTCTTCCGAGGGCTCGGATCGAAGATTGCAGGCGTTTTAATTTCCCCATAATAGGACAAAACGTGCAATTAAAAATGTTTCGTTTTGAGTATTTCCGGAAACGCCCTGTTCACAATAAAATTTTAAGTAAAATAGTGATGGCTGTTCATTGTGACCTACTTATATGCGTTGTATAAGAGCCAAACAGTATATGATAATTAACCATTTTGTGTTGTTTACAAAAAAAGAAAAGAATAATGCGACCGAATTATAAACTAGACTCGGATCGATTGGTAAGATTTTTTAATGATCCTTATAAATATATTCCGATCAAGTTCACTAAACTGCTTTAGCTTTGAAAATAAAATTGTTTTTATTTAAATATACTTGTAGAATCGTCTCGTTCCTGCTGTGCTCATTCAATTGCATCAAAATTTCAAGTGATTGACGATGATCAAGAAAACAATCGAATATTCGATGACTTTCACAGCAAGTGATTTCCGTCAACGATTAACTACTAATCAAATCATCGTAGTCGGTAGAAAAAAAATACATAAAAAAAGGGCAACATTAGGAGTGAATCTCTTCATCAACAAGACTCTTCAATAGCTGTTGTCACGTTTTCTTCTTTTCAAAAGAATCACCATCAAAGAGTGAAATAAACGAATTACTAAATAACGACTGCTTCTCTTTTTTTTTTATTACATATGACATACAACAATCAGATCAAGACAGAAAATTAACGTAACTTGATTTATATCTAATGGATCAATAAATCGGATAAGACAAAAATCTTTTCTTGGCTGCTTAAAATCTCATTTTAATCAGAAGTAAATGTGTAAAGTGTCCATTTATATGTCTACATTCAATATGATTGACGTAACAAACATCTAATGAAAACAACAAGTCAGCCACTCATTCGTTTGTTTAATATATATTGAACAAGACTAACAAAAAAAGTCATACTCGATATTTACTTGACATGATTCAATTGTCAAGTTTGTGTACTGACCGCTCTTTCTATTTTCACATCGATATATCATATATATATATATAAAAAAAAAGAGTAACAAGTATGACAATAAACGACCTAAGGCTTCATCATTCTTCTCTCTCTGTGTTCTCTTCTTGATTTGTTCACTGCTTGAGAAATAATTGTTCGAAACAACACTGGATTAATAATAAAAGTCATGCGTTTCTTTCACATATATCTATCTATACGTAGATGTTTATAAGTATGAGTAAATACATCCAGCTAGCCATTGTACATTTGATGAATTATTGCCTTTTTCTTTAACATCAAGAGAGAATGGCAAGTCTTATCTATCCTACTATATGGTAGACTAACAGGGAAGAAGACGTAAATCATCATCGACTTGTAATGGTCATAGCGTTCATATTATATTTGTGTGTTGATTAACGAAATGGATGATATCAGTATACATCCGATAAACTTTATTTTTGAGAGTCATCGTCTGTTACTTCCTCTGTTGATTGTGTACGCACGCAAATAGAAGAATGAGACGAGCACGAGATAAGATCGATGACAAGTCAAGTCTTTTTTTCCTTGTTGGTATGCGCTTGTACACACATTTAAATTTTGTCTGACCGATCATAATTCATGTCACTCTTGATTTGAACAGGTGAGTGAGTAATAGATACAATTGTTCATGTGTATATATAGATATGACCTCTTCGATCTTCAATTCAAATTCCACTTGATTGTATTTTGCCCTACTTGAATTCGCTATCATTATGATACAAGTGAGCAAATCATTTCCGTCGCAGACAAGTTCAATGATAGGATGAGATGGATAGATATACATGTATATGAAGACGAAAGTGTGCACATCTACTGAATTTTTATCTTTCCGCTGTTTCTGATTGACAAGGGTCATCGGAAACGTGCGGCACCCTACAGATACTAGTGGTTGTCATCATCATCGCGATGATGATGATCGAAGAGAGACTATTCTCTTCATTTGATATCTAATTGATTGAGCCATGTCTGCTACTTCACAATTAAGTAGATATCCTGACGATGTGAGTATTGCAAAGGTCATGTGCCTCTTTGCTAACGTAATTATTATGCTTCATTGATACTCATCACTCCATTCTCTCTCTCTCTCTCTCTCTCTCTCGCTCGTTTTCTTTTTGCCATCTGACAAAATAAATAAATATTGTATCAGAACACTGAATTATTGACAATAAGTCATTCGTCCCAATCGATGAATATATATATTTATCAATATTATTTTTTCTGGGTTTGTTTTACGATTAGTCTTCTTCTTGCTTATTCGTATAAAAATGTCAAGAACAGGTGTTCACATGATAATTGACAGGATATATTCTAACATGAACAAAAGCTACAACCGCTGAACTAATTTGACAATCTAGCTATACTTTCTTCTGCTATTTATTGAGAACGTGTGTGTTTCCTAATGCACATCTGCACAACAGTGATTACGTAGTTGAATATTCTTTCCTTCGATCGCATCTGTTTATAATACTTAAAGCTATATTATGTATAGTAGAATATATCTCTCATACAGTTCATTTGACAACAACAGGTAATTGAATAAGAGTGTTGATTCGATCTCTTATTGAGATAGAAGTCTTGTCTTGTTATATTTATGTCCATATTTCAAATAAAACCCGCAAGCGATTGGACAGATTGAACATAATCGACATTATTCTTTTCTTTTCTTTTTCAATGGGAGCGCACGAGAGAGAGAGAGAGAGAGAGAGAGCGAGAGCGAGAGAGCGAGATGCACAAATTATCGTTTCATCATCACTTTCCTTCTTTATTCTATAATAGATCTATAAAAAAGAAGAACGACCATTCATTTATATTTTTTAGACTTTGATAAATGTATAACATTCTATTGATCATCGTTCTTTATTTTCTCATACATCAATGTAAGTTTATTTCTTCATATCTCAAATTAATATATCATTTTTTTCTTCTTTAATAGCTTTCGCAACAACTCGTGTGGAAAACATAACAGTAACACAGGATGAAAATGTTCGTTTTCACTGTCAATTTCCATCGGATATTTCTTTCGATGAAAATATAATACAATGGAAAAAATATCGTTCAAGCGAAGACAATATTCTTATATCAATCAATGGAAAAGTTTCGAGAAAATACGAAAAAACCTATCAAACGATTTTAACCGATCGATCGAGTTCATTCGATGTATTACATGTCACTAAAGAAGACTCAACAACGTATATTTGCCAAACATTTGAAACGCAAACAATACTCTGTCAATATAATCTCGTTGTACTTAGTAAGTACTAGTGAAGAATAGTAAAATAATAACAATCTGCTAATTTTGTCTACAGTTAAGCCCGAGGCACCATCATTAACAATCAATAAAGAGAATATTGAAGAGTATCAAGCTGTTACGTTGACATGTTCATCATTGAATGGAAATCCTCCGCCTCAATACACATGGTATCGCAATAGCATACTTGTCACGTATGATTATACTCAATTGTATTTTCTTCCACTTTTTCGTTTCGGTTTTTTATTTCCAGTTCATCGGACGAACAAGTGACCACAACGAATAATAATTCAATATATACATTTAATGTCACTCGTTTTGACAATAGTGTGCTATACGAATGTCAAATCTGGAATCAAGCACTTACAATGCCGCTTCGTATTGAACAATATTTACACGTTAAATGTAAGCACAGACGTAAAAAGCGACACTCGCCATATGCTCATCTTTTCTTTTTATTTATGCATATGTAAATAGATCGGCCATATGTGAATATACTTGACGAAACAACAATATTCTCAAGTGAAAAAAATCATATAAGAAAAATAATCGGTATTGAACAGCAACAGTTTAATTTAACATGTCATTTTGATGCAAATCCATCGCCGACATCTATCTATTGGCTAACGAATGGAACCACAATTGTTAGCCGTAAGGAAAATTGAAAATGATCTGTTCAATGTAGACTCAATAAGAAGAACACGAGAAGGATGCCATACAAAACTTGAGTGCCATTAAAAGAAATTGACGCCTCCTTGTGCTTAGTAGCTGTTTTCTTAGTGAAATTTTTAATGATTAGAGCAGTACCAGGACTACAACTTACATTCTGAAAAAACTCGAACGGAATGTTTTGTGGAGATATCCAATGTCCAAACGAAGTTGATATCGGCACTGTGCTGGTGGCGTGGAAATTTGATATATCAAACATAGGAGCATTCTTTTCGGCGAACAGTCTGGCAATGCTCTAAGAATAATCGATGATATGAATTCCATGCCAGAATCGTTTCAGAGTTATCTTTCCGTGATTGACGATACAGCTAGTTTCGTATTTTATAGGTGAAAAATTGGTTTATATACCACGATTAAGATCTGAACAAAGTGGCACGTATACATGTGTAGTAGAAAATTCGATTGGCAAAGTGAATCAATCGGTTTATCTCGATGTACAATGTAAGTCTACATGAAAATAAATTCAAATCGGCATTCTTCTCTATATAGATCCACCTCGCGTTCGATCTATCTCATCCCGCATTCGAGTAAATCGTTCCGATTCGGTTGTACTTCGTTGTTTAGTCGATTCAAATCCATCGCCCTATAAAATCGTGTGGCTGAAAAACACCACCGAAATCTTTCGTGATTATCAATTAGCTGATTTGCATCTTACTCAAGTCGAACGTAATCATTCAGGTGTATACACTTGCGTCGTATATAATCGTTTTCATAATAATCAAACAAGTAATAGTTCAAACGCAATGGAACTTATTGTACAAAGTCGACCGATTATTGAAACAACATATTCTAAAATAGCAGCAGAAATTGGTCAATCAGTCATGTTGACATGTCGAGTCATTGGCCTACCGAAACCGAATATTATTTGGAAATATAATGGACAAATCATAGAATGCAATGAAATAATCAATGATATGTGTTTTTTACATTTTTCAAAAATAACAGCCAACGATTTCGGAACCTACCGATGCGTAGCCGAAAATCTATTAGGGCAAGAAGAATGGAGTTATACGATCGTATCTCGAGGTAAACCAGAAACGCCGAAGAACATAATTATATTAGATACTGCGTCGTCATCATTTCAAATTCAATTTACTCCATCGTTCGATGGCGGTAGTGGATCTCAAGAATTTGTAGTTCAAGTAACCGATTCAACAAATTCATCGATTATCACTCAACAAAAACTACCTTTCAATACTTACGAATATTATATCAAAGGTAGAAAAGTTCATAATTATGAATAAAATATGAAATTTGATTATATTAATTCGTGTCATAATGAACTATTGATTTTTCTTTGAAGGCCTAAATGAATCAACTACGTACAAGTTTCGTATGAAAGCAACAAATCAGTATGGTGACAGTCTTTGGAGTAATGAAACATTTGTAACAACAAGTGAATTTATTGTTACACCAGACGGTATTTCGTGCTTTTGTCTTTCTTTTAATTTTTTGGTCTCGATTAGATTTACCACAATTATATGTTGTATCTTATAATCCGCGAGATCATTTACTTCAATTTGATTATTTACCTGATGGTTCTCGCACGACAAGATTTACTGATGAACAATTATGTTTAAATATACGTCAATCGTTAGATAGAAAAATTTATCAAGCGATTCCACAATGTTTAACGATATTAAATCGTCGTGCACGATGGAAATTAGAAAAAGAATTTTCTTATTTTAAACTATCAATTTGTTCTAAGAGACATAAACATGTATGTGGCAAAGAAATCGAAATGAATGAGGGTAAGTTTGCCTGCCAAACTATTTGTCTCTTGGCCAAAAAACATTGAATTCTCGTTTTTACTAGAAATGAAAATACGAAATTCAACGCCAATGCTTGTTGGTATTTTTGTCATGACAAGTTTTCTTATGCTTATTATTGTAATTTTAATTGTAATTGTTTGTGCTCGAGCTAGAAAACATCGATTAAAGTCGAATGTAAATAAATGTAAGTACTATATTTGACATTACTACTGTATAAAAAGACGAAATTTCCTTTTAGTTGGTATGATTACTGCTAACAAAGGTGCTAGACCGTGAGTGCAATTTAATGACAAAAAAAACGAAACATTTAATAATTTAATTTAGAATTATATCTGAACCACGACTTCAAAAGCCATATTTACTCTATACCAATGCGAATACTATTTCATCTCCATACAACTACGATTATCAGCAAACAAATATTTCCAAATCACGCTCTCATTCCAGCAAGTTTACATTTTATTTTCTTTAATTTCTTACTTATCTTTACTGAATGGATTAGGTGACATAATTACTTCGGAACAAACAAAAGATGAAATTCAATGTAAATATTTTTTCTATTTGTTTCCAATGAAAATTTTCTAGAATAATTTTAGATGGAGGAGCCGTTCGTACTGCAACGATTCATACATCGCCTCATTGGAGTCGTAGCAATTCTCGATCGGGTTCAAATCCATCATCAGAATCGAGTTGTATAACTCAAAATACGAATATAATTTATGGTCACAACGAAATAAATCCCAATCCTAATCCAATATCAGTATCTCACTATGGTTTTCCCCCGATAATTCCTCCTTTACAGCAAAATTCTTCGATCATTCAAAGTTCGTCGTCAAGTGGAAATTCTACACCAAATCGTATGAAAAAGCTTTTCTATGAAGTAGTTGTTTAGCAGTAGACTGTGATATTTTGTTCATACGTTTCATTTTGATTTCAATGTATTGAAATATAATACAAAAAAAGAAAAGGAAAAGAATAAAATACATTTTAAAGTTTGTTTTTCTCTCTCGCTCAAGATGTAGTATAGCCCGCCGCTGGTTGTGTGCGACGAAGTTCTCGTAATGTAACAGCACGTCGAATGCGTTCAATTATTTTTTCACTTGATTCATGTAATCGTGCTATTTGTTCAATAGCTTTATAACCTCGTCCGCCTTCTAATACTTGACTCATATTAAAGACAATTATTTCAAGTGGATGTAAGGCCGTATGAAATTCACATGGATTATTTCCATAACCTTCAGCCGCAACAGCTATAAATTCACATACGCGATGTATATGTTCAACGTATTTCACCATTTCATATAAATGACGTAGAACAGATTCACGTTTATCAATTTGCGATTTTATATGAGTAGAAGTCAATAATGTTCCTTTTTCTAATGGTATTGTACCAAGTAGACGTTTAGCGTTGTCATTTAGTTTAGATTGAACTTGAAATATACGTTGACGTCGATGAGAAATTGCATTGTAATAAAAACGTCGCGATTTACTATGGTGTTTAGCTAAAATTTCTTCTTGTATTGGTGCAGCTTCTTTTGGACAACGGAAGGTTCCATCTGTTGCATTGTGATCTTTCCAATAGGCTGTACAAGTCCAACAGAATTGAGCACCGCATGAACATGTCATATGATTACAACCACCTAGACAAAAAGAAAAGAACGACATAAATGAAATATCACAAAAGAAAATGAACTAACCATTCTTTTCAATAAAACTATGGCATGATACACAGTTTCTTCCTTTGACTTGAACTATGGCATCATAATCAGATATAAGATCACCATTTCGAAATACTTCATCCATATATATACGATATGCACTGCATGTTGCCGGAAAATGTGCTTCTTGTTTACAGTTGGCACAAAATCGATGGCCACAACGACAACGTACATTGTCACCAAGTGAACCAATCACTTGAACAATATTTGAACATGATTTAGCTGGACATTGTACATAGGAGCGAGATAAATTTACGAGACATTTTTCTAAATTACGTTCATATATGTTCACGCAACGTACATTGGCCAATGATAGCATGGTACCTATAGAATAAGTGAAGCGTTTAAAAATGAAAATTATATTTGAATAAGATCTACAAGTCTCTATCGTTTCTATTTTGAAGATTTATTCTATTCCTATAAGAAATCTTACCAACATCAACCAATGAACAACAATTCCATTCCGGACAGAGAACAACACCGACACGTTTAATCGAATTTTCAATATATTGCCTCCAACAATCATCACATAACCAATGTGCACAAGTTTTCAATGCAGTCATAGGAATGGTTTCATCCATATCACGATAACAATTCGTACATATGTCTGGTTTAAGTAGTTCATAGTCATCTGTTGAGACGTCATTATTCAGTTGTTGATTATTACCAATCAATGTTTCTGTTTGTGTTGGATTTTTATCCAACAATCGTATTCGACCAATTTGTTTGTTAAGAAATTCGCTGTCACTTAATTCATTATCTTCATCATTTTTAACGATTTTTCTTCGACTTAATTCCGCATCGATTGGTTTGAATGTATCAAATGATAGTGTTGTAATTAATTCAATTGTCCGTTCGATTATTTCATTTATTTTATAGATTGTTGCCAGTGAATTTTCAAATTCAAGTGGAATTGTTTCTGCATATAAATCCATGTTAAATCCTACTTGTACGCGCGTAAAGTTTTCTTCACTTGATATTTCATCATTCAAGACAAGAACAAGATAACAGTTAAGTACGCTATAAATTGGAAACAGTTGAAAATTATTTGGCCATTTATATGATTTCAAACGATCAGTTAAACAAATTAAATATTTTGTTGGATAACATTGTGCATGAATAAAATTTTTTCCGTAGGTTTTTGATAGATAATCAATAGTTAAACTAGTTTTTGTTATTAAAACTGGATTAAACGATAGAGACATTAAACCATGATGATGATTGTCTTTCGATGGAACATTTTTCTAAATTTACAAATACAAAAAAAATGATAAAAACTAAATTTCAAAACAAACCGTTTGAAGATAAACAGCTTTGTCGCGATTATAAAGTTTTTCTTCTCGACTTATTTGTCTATGAAATTTTTTCGCTTGTTTTTCTCCATCAATATCATCAAGATAATAACGTGATGCTTTTGGATCGAATTTATTTACTGTTACTAAATTTTCACTTATCGTTGACACTGCAATAACATCTTCGGTTGTTACAATAGGAATAAAATCAGTTAATTGTAATTTATCTGGATTTTGTGACGTATAAGTCTAGAAATGAGATCATTCGAGTCCAAAAATAGAAAGTCATCGGAAGTTTTACCGATGTTATGAATTCATCATCGCCATCATCACCATCATCAGAAGTTGTTTGTTCGTTATCGTCCTCTAATTGTTCGACAATATCCATACGTCCTTGAACCTGAGTAAATTTCGAGCGTTGAGTACTTGCTACAGCTCGTTTAGCTACAATTAAGATACTCTAGTTTATATAGTAGATGAAAATCGTCTTTTTTTATGCAACTACCTTTCGTGCCATGTTTTCTTCGTATATTAACTAATTGTTTTTCTCTTGGTGGTGGTACAACAGCATAGTAAGTAACATCAGCAGTATTAAGCTGTCGATTATTATCTCCGGCAGCATTCACACCGGCTGTTGGATGATTTCGTAATTTTGCTGTACTTGATTGATCTTGCATATAGGTTTTTTTCGGTGTTTGTATGCGTTGTGGACCTGTATTACTCGCAATACTAACACAATTAGCTTGTTGCTCGGTATTATGAAGTTCATATAAACGATATTTTGTTTTCTGACTGTTTTTGAAGCGTTGTCGAACACTTTTCTTTTTTTGCCTAGGATTTTTTCCGTTTTGTTCCGAATCAGATCGTACATCGAGTTCATCGTCTGATGATGAACTTGATTGATAAGGTAAATTTCGATGAAAATCATGCAAAATTTCCCATCGTTGCTTTTTATTTAATGAATATTCAACTTGGGGTTGGTCAATACCAAATGGATCTTTTTGGTCAGCAGATTTTTCATTGTCATTCTTCCATACGGCATGTATATAAGATTTATTAGATGGTTGCCGTGGATTATGATGTAGAAAAACGCTTTTACCACCGGCCGTTATGCGTTTCGTTGGTCGTAAATTGGGTTTCTCGTCATTATTATCATTCGAAGCCATTGGAAATTAAATATTAACTATACTAATCTACGCACAAAATAAATCACATGAGCACGGTATTGCGCTTGCTTTTTTTATACCCCTAGTAGGAATGATGATAAATGTAAGTATTTGCATCAATTTAAGATGTTATTGCGAAATACTGTGTTGTCATATAGTGTTTCGATTCTATCAACATACCTGAAAAAATAATTTAAGCACGTGATTTGTAAAAGGCGAAGATTCGTCATCTACTTTACATTCATTGATTGAAAAATATTTCTTCTGTGAAATTTTTCCAGTAAAAAATAAATACTTTTTTTCTTATAAGCAGAGATTCCTATAGAGAGAAAAATGGCGCTTCTCGTCCGTCATGTTCCGCCCTCTGTCTAGTGAAACATACGATTGCCGTTATTAAGAACATAATAAATGACAGACAGCAATCGACAATTGTCTTTTTTTTTGCTATTACTACTACCGAATAGAGTCTGAATAGCGAATTTCAACTGGTTGTAATTACTAAAAATATTTCTTTTTCGCCTGTGTTTTACATCCTATTCATATAGTGATCATGTTATCAAGAATTACAATCGTTCAAGCATTGCAATTCGATTATTTATTTTAAATTTAGATCCAATTTTTGAAAATGCAATCGACTCCATTTTCTACTTCGACATCCACACCCTGGGTGACCACGAGTAATTCAAAGTAAATTAAATTATTTCGTTTAATTTAATTTTAATAATTTGAATTTTCCGTTTAGTGTAAATACAAATAATTCGAGCTTTTGGTCAAATGGAGGTTACAGAAAACGTAAAGCAGCTGCAACTGATTTGGATGAAAAGTAGAATATAAAATTTTTTATGCTCAAGAAATAATTTTTGTTTTCGTCATTGATGAATAGAGTCAATCAAAAAATGTTTGTAACAGAAGAAAAAATGGTTAAAGAGATGCGAACACTATCATTAGATCTATTGCCTCCAGATACCAACAACGTACAAGTATCAGCTGACGAGTAAATCAATATTTATTATATATATTTTTTGAAATTTATTTCCTTTTTTTTTGTTTTAGTTTTGTTGAATCGATTGTTGATGATGTACAAACTAATAATAGGGACGATGATGATGATGATGATGATGATGATGATGAAAAAGAAAAATGTTCTGAAGAAACACGTTTTGAATTACATAAATTATTAAAAGAGAGTTTAAAGAATGATGATTTACAAGATAGTTTAATTAGCAAACTGTGGGAAATTGAACGGTACGGTCATTTGTTCGGTTGTGTTTATTCTATTGAATTCATCTAAACTGTATATTTAGGAAAAAATTAACCATGCAGCTAGTACCTTATATGCCAATTCATCCAGCTCAATTGCATAATGAAAACGTCACAACAGATAATAAAACTAAAGAACCCGACGAAGAAAAAATGATTGAAAATCAATTTTCATCTTCTGTTATCTATGATGAAGAAATTAAGAATGATGGTCATCTTTTTAAAATTCCATCAATACCAACACTTTATACAGTCGAAGAACCACCATGTGATGGTGTTCTAAAACGAAATCCAACAATGAAACGGTTCAAATAGTTTTTTTTCTGCGATTGAGTTGAAGGTTATTTTATTTTGTTTATATAGAAGTTATTCTCAGTCCAATCAACAAAATAGTAGTCTATCAGTCACTGAATTGAGACCAGGTGTGGATGATTTTTCAACTATTGCTCAATCACAATCACCTTATTTTATTGTCGAACCATCTTCGAATGCGTAAGTCAACGGTTTCATTCCGATCGAAACCAGAAGGGATAAATTCATAAGTTAACTTTTTTTCTGTTTCATTTAGTCTATCGGAATCACCAAATCTTTCATCTTCGTCGCTATTATCTGATGGACCATCGATTCGAATATCAGAAGTTGCCGATAATCCACCATCGAATAATGAACTTTCTAGTGTAATCGATGATAATGTTGACGATGATATTGACATGCAGTCAGTTGCTTCATCGGATACAGGTGATAAAATGGATGATGAATAAATAGGAAAAATGAAAACTTTTTCTAACCCACCATTTTTGAAAACAGCACATTTCTGCGTTTATGAATTAATGTAACAGATGTATTCTTTATTAGTCGTTTAATATATTTTCAGATAGAATATTTCAGGTTCTTTTAAATATAAATATCTGTGATAAATATAAATAACAAATGGCATCACCTCCGATAACACAAAACCATAATAAAGATGCTAGCTCGAGTACACTATCTGAAATTCAAGCCGATCATCATGCACGCCAATTTGATATAAAAGTCGTACGAGATGCATTTGTTAATTGCATTCAACCAGATAATACACTTCTTCTTTCCGAATATGTTCGTGCTTATGATGAACTATGCATGTAAGATTTTTTTCTTGAAAAAATAAAAAACAAGAAATAATTTAGTTTTCATTTAGCTTTGTCGCTTCTCTTGGTCATGTTTTTGAATGGGCTATAAAAGATCTGAGTAGTAAATTAATTATTCTTCAAGAATACCAACGAATAGATCCAGTCAATTATGAATCAATACAATCTATGATTGCTTATGAAGTTAAATCTGAACGAGTTAAAACAAGAGATACAAATATACAAGTTCAATCAGGAAAAGTTTTACCCAACGGCTGTCGAACATTATTAAGATTGCATCGAGCACTTGGCTTTATTTCATCATTTCTAAGTCAAATGCGTATAGCACCTGATGATGCAAGCTCAGCATCCATTGCTTGGAATGCTTATTCAGCAACGCTTGGACATTTTCATTCATGGGTTATTAGACAGACGTAAAACTATCTCATAGTATTTGCACAGATATATATTTCTTTTTCTTTAGGATACATGCTGCAATTACGTTGACAGTTCCTAACCGTCAGACATTACTCAATAAATTACTAATTAACCGAAGTCACGACGAAATCGACACATTCTGCGTTGATATTGTACAATCGTGCAATAAAGTCGAAAGTATTACACAAGAACTGTATGAATTAAACGACTTAACTAGGCTACCATAATCTATATTTTTGTGTTCTGTTTTTAATTTTCATGACGGTTTCTGAATGTAACCAGTTCACCGTTGTTTTTCTTTAAATTCCATTTCATTCATGATTCCAAATCAAAAAATGTTGATCATGTGGTTTGCACTTATGATGTCAGCAATGAGCAAAGGAATCTCATACATTGAAATAAACTTTGTTTACATCTTGTATATCAAGAGAATATTATCGTCGAATAATAGATATTTTAGTGTATTGATTTCCTACAATATAAACCGAATGGCGAACTTCCGCTCCGTCTAGTTTTTCTCTCGCCGAAGAACATTGATTTAGCACTCATTCTTATTAGGAAAACAATACAATATTATTTTTAAACGGTACTACAGCTTTATAACAAATGCTTTCTCAATAGGTGAATTACATTTAGTCATGTTTCTAAGTTTTCAAGTTAAATATATTTTACATGTGATAAGATGCATTCGTTTTTTGTGTACTCAAAAGGTGAGTACACTCTAGATTCGGTCAGTGTGTCCGGCCATTAACACGATAAATCTTTCTCAGTGGAGTTCGAAAAAGAGAAGGATCCGTCAATTATTGACCAGACCATCCCTGAGGTGGGGGGGGGTACAGGGATTTTTTTTTCAAAACATATAAATCGACTCAGTTTTTGCAGTACACATTACAATCCGATGTTTCCTCATTTATTTTATAAACAAACAAGTTAAAGCAAGATCAGCATAAATAAATTTATTTGCCATTTTTTAAAAAGGTTAATGATATTGATTATTTTTTTACATGGATTTCGTAATGTAACTTTGTTCTATCAGTATGCGCCAAGAATAAAGATAAACTTACAGTCCTAATAAACAAGGATATAATGACATTTTAATCTGGTGATATATGTAATGCCAACATGTTTATTCGATAGAAATAAAGTTTTCTATCAGATATAGTTTTTTTTTCATGTCTCAACCTACTGGTTCAATGGATTTATTGCTGTTTCCCTGCTCCCAGTCCATCAATGATAGTTTTTCTTGTAAAACAATAGAAAAGGTTAATTTCAATTTTCGAGATTATCATACAGATACAAAGTGAATATCGAACATCTAGTTTTTTCGTCGATACTTTCGTCGTCGTCTTCTTCTATTGTTGTTTCGTTTTTTATGACGGATTTCAAAACTAGTTTTATCATCATTGCGATGACAATCGTATATGTGTAGAAGTACTGGGTAGACAAGCCAAGCAAAACTGTACAGTCGACCTTGTTGATTTGTCATATCTCCGTGATTATTCAGTTCTTCTTTATATGTTACATAAAACCAGGCCGATGCTTTTTGTTCAACATAGATCGAATGTTTCTCATAGTAATCAGCAACAACCAATTGATTGTGCCATGACAATTGTTGGGAAACTTTTTTCCAAAAATCGGGTTCGACATTCTCATCCTCCATCGATAATTGATAAAACTCTTGCCAGAATATTTGAATATATCTAGCAGAATAGAAAGGTTTTGGATTGAACCAAAGATATTGATCTCCCTTACTTGTTGCGTAGAGATCGAATCGCATTCGTAATTTCATTACGTAATTCAAAGATTTTCGCTCGTTTTGCGTATTGTTTACTCATAAATTTTATTATGTAACCTGATATAATTTCACTTTCGCGATGTAAACCGTAATGTCTCATGATTCGTCTCACTAAAGTTGAAGAGAAATCGTCAGCAGCAGATCATATCTTGTATCCATAATACTCACATTCTCGGTCGTATTCTTCTTTCAATATTCGAGCATCAGTAATGTAAGACAAGTAACCGTCAATGATTAATGTTCGATAAGGGAATGGCTTCTTATTGAGATCTTTGTTTTGATTAGAATCGATTTTGAACTTTTTCACTTCATCGTACAATTGACCGAGGATCGAAGTTGACGAATGATCTGGTTTGTCTTTCTTTTCCATGAAATGAGGATAGGTCTTTGGCTGAAGATCTTTAGTTAAAGTGGGTGGACGATTACCAGTTTTAACAAAATCCACAGCAATACTAGACATCAAAAGCACTTGAATTCTGAAAAGTTACGGTTAATTGCAAACCTGTGCATCTCAGCTAATTTCATACAATTTTCATTTTCAACTCCATTTCGATCAGCTCGTGCTAAATGCCAATTAGCAATAATCCCCAGATTATCTGCTTTCATATATTCGACAAAGAAACGACAAATATCAGCCATAGTATAGGACTGTTTGGACGTATTCGCAGCAGACTCGTTTGCTTGCCGTGCCTGATCACTGTAGCAAAAGGCTTTATAATTGTCAGCAAATATTAGATGCGAATCCCAACTGATCCAAAATGTATCACCATCTAAATCACCACCGGCTAGTTCTGCTGCCATTGATCTAGGACCATCCATCGGAAATACAATGACATTTTTCAGTTTGTGAAGCTGAAGATTATCGACAGCTTCGTAACGACGTATATCGCCTATGTAAAATTGATGTATAATAATGTAGTCTGAAAAATTCTACACAGATAAAACTTCATAACTTTTATCTCTTCGAATTTCGATTAATTATTCACGTCGATAATGAGCAAAATTCTTACCTGGATATAAACAGGGATTTCTTGTTACAATAACTGGACCTTGAATGATCTTTGTTTCATTGATATCACTACGGTGAATTTGAATAAATACTTGTCCGTATTTTAATGTTCGAGTTTCATCAGCCACACCGAATAAAACACAACCTTTTTCGATCAAAATTCTTGCTTTTGTTCGTAATTGTTTCAGTTGAAATGCTTGAAAACGAAAAAGGAGTTGCGGAATAAAAGGTTCTGTATTCAATTGAAATCGTGACAAATACTCGATCATCATTTTATGAGTTCCGTTGCCACCGGTGTTCCCATTGAATTTCCATAATGCTTCGATGGCATGATCGACATTTGTGTTGATGAATCTTAGTTTTGCAAGCATTTCATCTTGAAAATGATGGAAAACAGAATCGGATATACGGCGAGAAGATAATAAAAGAATAATTTGACGATTAAGATAACTCGACGAGAAGTCGGATGGGTGAACGATATCAATTGAACAATTATCTGAATCGAACTTTTTCATCGAGGGACGAAAAGCCACTCGAATTTTGGAATCATTGCAGATTTTGTCTTCTAAACTGACACAAACCATTCCTGGAAGTTATATACAAGTATGAGATGGTATTATTTCTTCTTTCGAACATGAGATTTACCTTTATATCCAGCGAATCGGATTTGAAATGCTGATGGCGTTGAGTCAAGATTCATCTGCTTCGAAAGTTCATCGGCAAACCAAGAAGCAATGATCCCTATTCCATCTGTATATATTGCCTTACTATCTATCGATGATGTCACATCATCGATTTCGATGTATGATTCTCTTGATAATTCTTTTCCTTTAATGGTCGTTGAAAATGATTGACCAAGCTAAGATGAAGAACAAGTATCAAAGCTCATCTTAATAGAGTTGTCGCGTGCGATTTTGAACTCCTACCCTTGCAGCCATCTTTGCGACTGGATGTATATTCTGAAAATCACCCATCCATTCTCGAATTGCATCACAAGAGATATTGGATATATGTTGTTGGTGAAACATCCAGCATGAATGTTCACGAAGTTGAGATGAAGAAAAGGCGAGAAATTTATATTGTCGACCACAAACATTCAAACCATCGATCATCAGTTTTTCAATATGCTTATATACGATATTCATCGAGTTATTTAAGTTTTTGAGCATGCGATAATCTATGATGTTCATAACAGACTCTTAAATGTCACAAGGTTTTGAGAACTTACCTTCATCCAAAAAGCTAACACGTAGAAAGCAATCTTGAAGTTCAGAGAAGTGACGAATTACAGCACAAGCTTCCTCAAAATGTGGTCCTTCATAATTTATTGTCGATGGAGTAATATAAACTTTACGAATAGAAAACGTTTCAATTGATTTGAATGCTCGCATCTCTCGTTTCGTCACATATATTCCAGATACTGTCTGATCCAGTTGATGTTTTCGACGAAGTTGAATTAACCCAAGACACAATAGCCGACTCAAAGAACCGATACGATCATTATTTGAATGATACAGATCTTGTAATTTAATACGAGATAAATCTATGGCTATAGAAGTTGAGGCGGCAGTATTCAAAGGCTTGCCATCAGCTGAAAATATTGGTGGAAAAACATGATATGTTCTTATTGTTGATTCTTCATTTTTCCCGCCTTCTTCTTCTTCATCATTCCAATCTTCATCGTTCGATTTTTCGCTGGTAGGTTGCCAATGAGGAGCAAATTCGATGATTTTATCTAGTTTTCGAAATGAAACCCGAGATGATGGTAATTCATGCAATACTTATGTACTATCAATGATCATGCTGAATAAATTTTTACTTCAAATTAACCCAGCATTCAATAAAATTTGCACAACAATATTATCGATATATTTCTCGGACATCATTATAAGAGGTTAAATGAATGTGATGAACTTACCGACACAGGCAGCCAGAGTATTTGAAGACATTTTGCGGAGTATGAATTCCAATCGTTCGTCCAAGATAAGATCGTTGACCGTAATTATATGTTTAGAGATCAGTTTCATAATTTCAAACTTAGTTTGAAACGGGAAATAAGGCCAACGTTGAGAAGAAAATCGCGCAATGGCCAATCTATTTTTTTCCTGCCATTCTTTCATTAATAATAAGTTAATATGAATGAACTGTTGAGAATGTTGAAGAACCGATGTCAATAGGGGTACCATGTTACTTGCTTGGCAATGTTTGGCAGACAGGCGATGCCGATCAAGTAAATTGGCAAATGTCTGATATATTTTTGGATCTGAACCAATTCTCAAAAGCCAAGCATTAGCACGGCCGAGTAAGGTTGAACCAGGAAGACGAATCTCATTATGTGAACTGTCAGCTCTTGCTCTCTGAACATAACTAATAAATGGTGCACGACGAATTTCACAAAGAATATAAACTGATGAATCAATTGAGTTGTTGGATGAAATCAAATTAGACGATGACAGCCCATGTATCAGTACTGGGACAAATTTGTTTCCTTTCAAGCTGAAGTTAAAATACACACTATGGCTACTTCTCTATCATAGACACGTTTTTCAATAAAATGCTAAGAATTTGAAAAGAAAAACTGCGTCGAAAATATGGCGAATGACCTGCTTGAATAATCATTCTGCCAGTAGCGTAAATAGGGGGGAGGGTGGGCGGTGTGGGGCGTAACGCCTCCTCCTGCTTTTGAAATTTGCCTGTATTACGCCCCCCTGCTTCTGAAAGTTCATTTTTTTAGGTCATGAAACCAGAAAAATCAGAGTTACGCAGGGGTGGCGCGACAGAGAGGGCGCCGCCTGTTTCCAGAAGTCAAACTCGAAAATCATGAATTCAAAACACAAAATCCTAAAAGAGTTCTGAAAAGTTTTGAAAGATTCCAAAAAATTCTAACACATCCTGAAAAAGTTTCAAAAATTGTCAAAAATCTTCGCAAAAGTCTCGAAAGCAACCGAAAAATTCTACAAAAACGCTGAAAAAATCCGGATAAATTGCAAAAACATGAAAAAGTCCCGAAAAATTCTAAAAAGTTTCCAAAAATTTTCGAAACAGTGAGAAAAAGTCCTCCGAGTTAGCGAAAAACTCGAAAAAGTCCAGAAAAACTTTCAAAAATCTGGAAGTTTTGGCAACACTCCTTCACCCACCTCAAGAAATTTTTAAAGTAGACTTTTTTTAAGATACCCCTCAGCTTTGGTTCGTCGCGACATCCCTCGAATTAGGGCGGGGGGGCGGGGGGGGGGGGG